CCTGCCCGACGGTTGGGGGGACAAGCCTAGCGCGCCCCTCGTCCTCAGCCGGAACCAGAGCGGCGGCGCACAGCGGACGGCCCTCGCACCTGCTGGGCAAGACGCCATCCTTCTTCTGGACCCCAGTCCCGGCACCAACTTCGGCCACCCGCTCCTGCTCTTCTACGTCGACTTCAACGTCAGCCCGCGCCGGTGCCGCAGCCGCGACAGCCTCTACCTGGGTGAGTGAAAGAATCGAAGGGAGGCGGCGGACCGGGCTGCCCCCTCTCCTCCAAAAGTCGAAGAGGGCATCCACCGCGGAGTCCGGATTAGACCTGGAAGATGTGGGTTCAGGCCACGCATGAAATAGTTGTGTCCTGCCCCTTGCCTTTTTGAGCTGTAAAGGTTTTCCTAGAAGGGAACCTACTTGTCATAAGCATAACTGTTACAACCATTTTTTGTGTGTGTCCCTTGGAGTCAGTGTTGACTCCTGGTGCCTGCTGGACAGGTCCCTGCAGTTTTCTTGGCAGGATTTTTTCAGAAGTGGTTTCGTCTTTCCTAGTTTTGAGAGAGAGTGACTGGCCCAAGGTCACTCAGCTGGTTTTGTGCCTAAGGGAGGACTTGAACTCATAGTCGGTAGCCTGATACCTTAACCAGTACACCAAACTGGCTCTCACTTATAACAATTAGAATATAGCAATTTAGAAAGCGACACACTACAGCCATTATTATGCATCAGGATCGCTCATATTTGAGGACAGGAGAGCTTCTTAGGCTCTGTGCCAAGCTTTTGTTTCCCCCAGGGACCAAACCCGAGATCATCTGGTTGATTCACCACTCAGCTTTAACTCTTATCTGCCTCCAGATGGTCTTGCTCACACTGAATCATGTTGCTTGATATTTTATGATGCTTTCCTAAGGTGTCATTAGAAGAGTACAAGAAAGGGAATGTTGCGTACAGTGGATCTGAATATGACCAATCCCTTTTGCTGGATCAGATCATAGACCTACCTAGTTTAGCATCCTGTCCATTCAGATGCCTCTGGAAAACTAACTAACAGAACATGAGTGCAATAGCAACTTTAACTTGTGTTCACAAACAATTGGTATTTATAGGCATAATGTTCCTAGACTGGAGAAAATATAGTTATCATGACTTGTACCCACCAGTAACATTTATACTTCATGAATTTGACTAAGCTAATGCAGTCATATATCATTATGTCTAGTGGCAGTGTGCTCTACAATTGAATAGTGCAAGAAGTAAGTCCTTTTGTGCATAATTATCTACATCTCTGTCATGTGCCTTCCTTAGACTGTTTTTTGAAAGGAAAAAACAAAAAGCCTCGCAGACTATAGCTTTTCTTCAGAGAGGAACTGATCTAGTCCCTCATAAGTTTTAATGCCCATTCTTGCAGCCAAAATTGTGGTAAAATATTCTTTTTCTGGTGCAAACACTGTACACAGTATTTCAAATGTTTGCTTTTCTAGTGATTCTCTATATTTGATAAAGTGTTCCCTACTGATATTTTTGTGGGTGGATCTGGCATAGACATAAATGCTAACTGGGATTATAAAGGAATTTCCAAGCGTGCTACTGAAAGAGAAAATATCTTATTTTCCAGAAGGATTATTGAATTAAACATTTCTTAAAACAAGAGGCAATCAGTTATAGATGGTTGAAATAAAGCCCTTCAAATGGAGCTTTCAAGCAATGTAAAAGATCTTCAGATTGAATTAACAGTTTTGTTATTATGCAGTATAAAGCAATGGATCTAGAGCAGTGTTCTTCAACCTTAGCAATTTTAAGATGTCTGAACTTCAACTCCCAGAATTCCCGAGCCAGCATCCTGGCTGGGGAATTTTGGGAGTTGAAGTCCAGACATCTTAAAGTTGTCTAGGTTGAGAAACACCGATCTACAGCTTTCACAGTCAGTTGAAATAAAGACCTATATTATACATTTCTTTTTTAAAAAGTCTTCTGGGGCACCCGCAGGGAACGTAATAAAAGTCAAGATGTCATCCGCGACTATGCAATTGAAGCCCAACCTTTTCTAAGGTGCATAATGACAAATGTAAAAAAGGAGTGGGGCTTTGATGATACGGTTATAGCCATTATCTTAACTTTTTTTTACTGTGCTGTAGATGCCCCTGAAGCCATTTGTTATAAATAAGATTACAAATCCTAAAAAAGACAATTTGTATCTAAAATCATAGTGTTTCACATTGAGGGAGAAAAATGGGGATAATATAAAGAAGGAGAGCTGGTTTGGTGTAGTGGTTGAAGGGATCAGGCTAGAAACCAGGAGACCTGGAGTCCTAGTCCTGCCAGAGGCACGAAGCCAGCTGGGTGACCTTGGGCCAGTCACTCTCTCTCAGCCCTAGGAAGGAGGCAATGGCAAGCCACTTCTGAAAATGTTGCCAAGAAAATTTCAGGGACTAGTCCAGGCAGTTGCCAGGAATTAACACTGACTTGAATAAATAAATAAGAGGGAGAAAAGATGGGCAAGGCCAAAACCTTTTTTCTTTTTCAAAAATGCGAGATGTTAAAAGAGCATTGTAAAAAAAAAAATGATTATAATATGTTGATCTTCCTAACTGGCAGGAAAGTCGTGATCCAGCTAGAACTCAGGGGAATCTCCTTTCAGACCCAGCAGGTTATCTTTATTAATAATAAGATGCAAGACATTATGACATAGACAACCCAGTTAGAAAATCTAAACTGTTAATCTCATTAATTGTTCCAATAATAACTGCCTCCATTTATAATTTGATGGGGATAATGGTTAAAAAAAAGTTCATTTTTTGTTGTTTAAACAGAGCTGCTTTGATCCAAGGAAGAATCTGCTTATTGTTATGTGTGTGATTTCTGTATTTCAGTTACACACTAGCAATGGTTGACCTAGTATTCTGAGCAATTCAAAATATACTACTATGCAGATATGCCTGAGAAATAAGTCCCACTGAATTCAATGAGACTTACTCCCAAATAAATGTGCCTGGGATTGCCCTCTTAACTTTGCTCAGAAGCAGCTGAGGAAGAATAGTACAGAACTCAATTGTGATTTCAGTTTTGCTCATTTAAAGTTTCTAGAGAAAAGGGCAGAGACAGCTTGGCATAAGTTGACATCAACCAGAAAATGTTCTTCCAGTGCCAATAGCCAATGGTGTTGTGGTATTCATTTAATATTTATACACTACTTGTACACCACCCTGCTTCAGAAACTCTAGGCAATTTACAGTAACACTAAAACCAACAAATAAGACTAACCTCAACGCACTAACACTAAAAAGTTAAAAATCAAAGATCAGTGCTAAAGAATCTAATCAAGACCATGAACATCAAAACCCCTATAGAAGAAAGTGGTCTTTAGAGTGCTTTATGCAAGGCCAAAAAAGTGTGAACTTCAAAGAAAGATGGTTTCAAAGCTGGTTCCAAAGCTGCCCCTGAGAAGAAGCACCTTCACCACAGTTAGGGTGGGGACCTTCAGGATGGGGTGCATCTGGCTGGAAGAAGCAGTCCAGAAGGTACCTGGAGGCCAAGTCACGCTGGGCTTTATAGGTTAAAGCCAATGCTTTGAATTGACCTGGAAACCCATTGACAACCAATGCATTTATGTCTGTAAAGTAGACACTCTTTGCAGAAAAACACCTGTGGAGTTTCTCAGAGTGTTTTATATCAAAGGGGGCTTGTTTTTTTCTGTGCAGGGAGCTATGAATGCTTGACTCCTGTACAGAGAAATCACTGTGAGAACCAGCTAAAGCGCAGACCAGGACGCAGCAAGGGGCGGAGCCAGCGGTCAGCAGGACACATTCGCCATGAAGAGCCACCAGTAGGGTTCTGTGAGATACATTTTCTGCCCCTGGTAGTGGTGGCCCAGGACCTGAAACACCTGCAAAAACTGCACTGCATAGGTGGGTGTTTGCACTGGGTTCAGAGAGAGTTACAGGGCAAGGAGACTGGAAAGATTTTGTCTTTGCTTTTACAATACAGGTAGTCCCTGGGTTAAGAACACCTGGTTTATGGATGACCC